TAAAATATTATCAAAAAACTTATAATTATAAAAAAAAAAAGATAAATAATTAAAATATTTTAATAAGATTATATAATTTTTAGTTTGATTAAATTTTTTTACTTTAGTATAAATTAATGAAAAAAGAAAAAAATATTACTATTCTTAATTTTTTTTTAAATCTATAAATAAAAAAAAGGTTACATTGAAAATTATTTTGTATTTGCTTATTAGTATTTCATATTTATAAGTAATTATTATATCTTTATTAATAAAATTAAGATATTTTAATTTATATTATTATATTTTTATTTATTTTAAAATAATACTAATTTATTAATTTTTATTAATATCAAACAACAAAAAAGGTAATTTTAGAAAATAATTAAAATATAAAAAATTAAAAAATTTTAGGTAATAATATTTGATAATTCTTCAATAGGTAACTAAAATTGCTATCCTAACCTATTAAAAATTAGTTTCAGTTAAATAAATCTAGTTTCAATAGTTATAACTATTAACTAAACTAGTTTTAGTAAGTCTAAACTACAAAATTTTAGTTTTGAATAATAACATTATATGTAATTCTATATAATACATAATATATATAGTATTTTTCAAAAGAAATGCAAGTAAAATTACTTGCCTTTAAAAGCTTATAACTCACTAATTACAAACGCTAAATATATGGTTTTATTTTTATTTTAAATCTCAAAACTTAGTTAATATTGTTAAAAATTTTCTTTTTAACTTTTTAAATAATAGAAGATGAACAATTTACAATTATTTTAGATGATAGTACTAATATATTATCAAAAAGTATAAAAAGTTTCAAAAAAAATTTAGAAAGAAAATTCTAAAGTATGGGAATTTTTATTCAAAATAAAGAACATTTTACTTGTGATCATTATGAAGGAACATGTAAATATTGTAATAAGTTTTAAATAGATGCTAGATCTAATATTTTACATGCTCATTTGTATCTTATTTCTCAAAATATCCTAATAATGTTAGTTTTGAATTTGTTAGAATTGTTGCTTAAGATTTAGTTCAAATTAAAATTAATAATGAATCTTTTGAATTTAAATGATAAAAAACTAATCATTCGTATGCTTTCTTTTTTCTATTTTTTTTCATAAATAAATTTTACTTAATCAACATTATGAAATCAATGTATCTTAAAAATTTTTGATAATACAAATAACTTAACATTAGTTTTAGATGATTAGACAACTCCTACTAGATGACCTCTTTGGAATTTTATTATTTTCATCAAGAATATCTTTTTTGCCTTCAAGATTTAACTGAAAAACATCACAATGGTGAAAACTTGCAAGTAAAATTTTAAAAGTTCTGGAATCAAAAAATTTGTTACTGTTATAACAGATAATAGTACTAATATTAAATTAGTAAGAAATTTAATTTTAATAAAATTCCTATAATTTTTAATATTTTTTGTATAGCTTATTATTTCAATCTTATTTTTTATGTTAATTAAAACACCTTTATAAATAAAAATAAATGTTGCAACTAATCAATAAATTAATATATTGTCAATGTCAGAAATCAACTTTATTATGTTGATTATCAGTGACCAATGGAATGACAGCATAATAAGTCTGCCAAATGATCTGCAAAATCCATAGGATTCTTAAGATTCTTAGAATTCTTAGGATTTAACGAATTAGCATGATCGTCATAATTTATTGAATTCCCTGTATTTCTATTATTTTAATTATTATCGTTATCTATTTTTATTATTATTATTATCTTTATTATAATTATTATCTTTGTTATTATTATTATTATTATTATATTAGTACTTATAATTACAAATTTAATTAGTTTATAACGTAGTAACTAGTTAGCCGTAGCAGATTAATTTTGTATAAATAGAATAGCTTTTTGCTCAAGTTGTAAATTAACTCTCTTGTAAGTTCTAAAATATTTGTGAATTTCAAGTAATAAATAAAGGAATCAACTTTGAAAAATAATTACTTTTCCCTTCTATATATTCATCATCTAGGATTTGATCATGAAATACTACACTAACTTGCAATTGAGTCCATCATTTAGAATAAAAATTTCTTTATATTTTTCCTTAAGTCACTAAACCTTTAAGTTCGTGAAGTCAAGCGAAGTAATTCTAAGGCATTCTGAATACCTATTTGATGTGAGATTCCCTAAGATTGTAAAGTCTGATGATAAGGAATTTACTTACCATAGTAAAGTAATTTAGCGAAACACGTGCGATATAAAGAGAATTATTTCAGATGATAATATGTTGCAACAAATTAATAAATTTTTTCAAATGTTGCAACTATGTTGCAATATATATTATAACAGTGGTATAATGCAACATATTCATAAAGGCTACTATTTTTAGTAAAGGCTAAGTTTCTGTTGATCTAAGACTTTATTTGCATTTACATGTTTTAATGTCATGTAGTATTTAGGTATGATTAATGTTGATTGACAGATCAATCAACTAGATTTGTACATATGTTAATATATATACCATATAGAAACAATAATTTTATGTTGCAATAAATCATCAATTATATATACAATAAAAATAAAATATGCATTTTAATGCATAACAGTAATTTGGCCTGAATCTGTAATTCCCTGCCTAAATTACAAATATATAAATCACAAGATTATAAAATGTTATATAAGAGTATTTTTTAAGCTTTTCACAAAAAAGTATTTCTGGTATTAAAAAAAGAAAATGATTGATTTAACACATATTATTTGAATTAAATTATGCAATAGCTTTTTAATAATAGTACCTTTTATGCAGCATTATGTGATGAATTAATTAATTATGCATTTCATATCATATTTTACAGTTTTTGCAGATTTTTGCAATTTGCATAAAATCATCATCCTTACATCTATCAATTTAGCCACATATAAAATTCTTATAAAAATCATTTAGTTTTATATATCAGTCGATATCTAAACTGATGGCCTATTATTGTATAATAAAACTTTAGCTTAATAGAAGACTTACAGTTTAATCACTAAACTAGAGATACTGATCTCTAAATTAAAGTATTTTAAAAAAAATAGATCAAAAAAAATTTTTTAAATACTTTATTTCATTTGATTTAATTGGTTGACCTGATATTAACTTAAAATTTATTTATCTGACCTGGATTTTTTATATCAGATTGAATCAAATTACAGGTTAATCTAATTTGATTTAGAGTTCTAAAAATAATAAATGAAAATAAGTTCTAAAAGGAAATTGAAGGGAAAAAAAATTTAAGAAAAAGGAAGATTAGAAAAAAAGAAAAAAAATTCAAAAACTTATTTAAAAAAATTATTAAACAAATATTATAGTGAAACTTGAATAAATTTTGGCAAGTTTATAATTTAAGCAATATTTGAAGTAACATTTTCATGATTATAGTCAGATCTATTTATAATTATCACTTTTGATTTTTAAAAATTATATAATTATAAATAAGAATAATTATTGTTTGAAGCATAGTGGAGGATATTTTACTTTTAAGTCATTTAAATGCAAGGTTATTCTGTTTATTCAAATTCAGCAAGCCTGATAGATCAATGACATTTTATTTACATTATCACATATTATATCTTTTGTATTACAAAATAATTAATCATATGAAATATGATATTATAATTTATATATTATGCTTTAGACTTTGAATGGATTCTATTCTTTAATATATAGTAAAATTAAATATGAGAACTTGTCAATAGAAAAAGGAGAAATCTAAAAAAAAGTTTTTATAAATTAAAGTTAAATCTGAACTTATTTTACTAAAAAAATTATATTAGCAAATAAAGTAAAATTTTAATTTTTTTTAGATTTCTCTATTGACAAGCTTCTATATAATTATCTGTAATATAAAAATTATATTACTGTGATTATAATAGATTAAAAATTATTTTATAATAATTTATTTAGAAAAAATGTTATAATTTAATTATAGTTATCATTTTTAATGATAACTAATTTTTTGTAAATTAATAAAAGCTGATGACTATATAAAATCTACTACTAATTCGAATCTATAATAAATCAGCCACATTTTTAAATTTAAAGTAATATTAAATGTTATTATGATGGTAATATATAGTAAAGATTTTTTGGTCCTCTCTATATAAAGAACATAAATCTTTAAATATTATTTTTGTTTTAGATTTATTAATGATTTCTAAAATTATTTTCTAGTATCTTTAATATTAAGAAATAATATAAATACCTATATTATATTAATAAATATTAATTAAATACTTTATTATTTTAAATAATTAATTATTATTTATTTATTATAAGAAATACTTGCTATTATAATCAAGTTATAGATATTGTAATATGATTTATTATGTTTGTAATTTGATTTTAATAGCAAACAACTTATTTATTTAATAATTTGATTTTGAAATATAAAATATATTAAATAAATTTGATTTTAAATTAATTTTAAATATAGCTTTTATATTAATTTAATTTTACTTTTATAGATAATAATATTATATAACTTTAAATTTTACAAATCTTTTTTTAATTATAAAATAAAAATATTTATTTAAAAATTGGAATAATTAGTTGAATTTCTTTATTATTATTATTATTATTATTATTTATTAAAAGTCTTCTTAATACAAAATATAAAAATTACGATATATAAAGTATATTTATACGTGTTTTTTTTTCCATTTTAAAGCTAACATACTATTCCTAAACTGTTTCACAATATGTCTTAAATGTTTCAGATTATATTCTAATATTATAGGATTTATTAATAATTTGTAGATCTTACTAATATTATAAATCATAAAAGTCACTCTAGGATTACGATTGTGTAATTTTTTTTTTTTTTTTTTTAACCTGGAAATTTTTTTTTATGGAATATCACAGAAGGAATGTTTTTTGGTAATGAAGATGACTATTAGTTTATCTTTTTTTTAGGTTGATTAATTCATTGAAGTTATCTCGGCAGGTTTAGTATTATGGAGATTTTTAACTGAATCAAAAGCTGATGAAGAAAAGGGCAGTTCAAATTTTAGAAAAAAATTTGGGAAAAGAAAGAAAAGCTACAATGGGAATTGGATTATTATTTCTTTTGTTGTCAACTGCTACAATTTCGGACGCAATTATTGCTTTAATACAAAAGAAGAAACCCGAGACAGCAGTAACAGTGTTAATTATTTCTAGCGTATCATTATCATTTATGGGATTTCTTTGGTTATCTAAAAAATATCTTGCTAAAAAGTTAGATTCTTCTATGATGCCTTCTGAAGCTCAATGTTCTTTGGCTTGTATTAAAATCACTTTAGTATTATTTCTTGGAAATATACTTTTTATCATATGGAGAGAAGGCTGATGGAGCTGCCATCGATCTGTTTGCTAAGGAAGGGACTGATATGATCATGTGGGCAAGAGGTAAAAACTTTAGTGGGATGTTGTAAACTTGATGTAATTGAAAAGAAATGTTGTGAGAAAGAAAATGAAAAGAAAATAGATATTCTTTAAATTCTGCAACAACTTTTCAAATAATGATGGTAAGTGGGAAAGGAACGGAATTACAAAGATTAACATGTTTCACTAAGGTTAATGGGGTGTTTTAGCTAATCAAGAAAGTAATCAAGAAAAGAGATGTGATTGTTGTTCCGACAATAAAGTTTGTGAAACTTCTCATTGCGCTAACGAGGCTGATTATAATGAAACGACCTTATAATGAAACGACCGAGAAATTTTGTGGAGACGATAAGAAAAACCAAAGTTCTAGTTGCTCTAAAGAAATTAAAGAATCAATTGATAATAAAAGTAATGATAAGTTCTCAACATGTGACGAAGAAAAATTAAAATCAATTCATTTACAATTGATGAAACTCGAGATACAATTGATGCGGAAAAGACCGAGTATGTTGCCACGAATATGTATCATTATTTTGCATCCACTATAAGTATATAAAATTAATATAAAATAAATATTTGCGCTGAGATCATCGTGTAATATACTGTATGAACCCCTTCTAAAATTGCTACTTCACGTCAGTTAAAAGGTTTTGAAGTGAAAAAAAAAGTTGTTTTCTTTCAACGATCTTCCAATTTATTTCCTTTTTCTCGTTCATATTTCCAATGTTCATCCAAAATAGGGAACAATGTGCCGTTTTACAAAATGTTGGTCAATTACTATTTTTATTTGTGCTTTAATTTGTCAAAAAAAAAATTTTTTCATTTTAGTTCCATGGTTTCGCATGTCAACTTGAAATTTTTAGGGTTTGATAGTTTCACGTGTAAAATATACAATTTCTCATTTGATTAGGAGGACTATCTTGAAAAAAAAGATTTCTTGCATATATTGTAATCGACACGATTGGATTGCATGCATTATTATTTACCATTATACTCTCGAAAATAAAGTACTATTTTTTTCTCTTCAAATATTTCAGATATATTATCAATCAAACAAGGCATATTAGTTACTTATTATGTATTATAACAAAATGGTAAGTAATGTATTTTTTTTTGTTGCAAATCAGATTTCTTTTTGACCCATAAAAAGTAAACCAATCAAGGTTACTCAATTGATCAATTGATGTGTACAAAAGAATGACAAGAATTTTAGTCCTATTAATCCTTTTGTACAAGCATAAAATAAATTTGAACCATTACCCATATGTGTTGCAGTTTTTGACTAAAAATGGAACAAGTACGAATTTATTTAAAATTATAAAAAGCAATAAAAATAAAATTAATTTTGTCTCATTCTTCTCCAATTCATTTCCTATTCAAAAAAAAAAATTCTGCATACAAACGCATAAATACGTCATAAATTTTGTGTAGTTGAAAAACTTTTTGTCTTTTTTACATTCATTTTTTTATTACTTTTTTTTTCTTTCCGCTTATTCTTATTTAATTTATTTGAATGAATGTGATAATAAGTCGTTCTACCCTTTTTTAAAAAATGAGTTTTCCAAAACGAAAACAAACGGGAACGTTATATCCTTGGTCTCAAAGAAAACTCTCAATTTCTAATCCATTTCCTCGTTATGGTCATTCTGCAAGTCAAAATGCCATAAATAATGAACTATTTTTGTTTGGTGGAATCGCTAGGGGAAAACCTAGAAACGAAGTTTTTACCGTAGAAGTCAGTAAGTAAAATTCTTTAAACATGATATATATAATTTTTTTTATGTCGAATTCAACGTTTAATTTTTTTTCTTTTCTTTTCCTTTGTGATAAAATTAATAGATACACTTAATGTTCTTGCCTTCGTCACTTCGGGTGAAGTGCCTTCGCCACGAAGTGGTCATACGCAAGTAAACATTGGAACAAATATAATTGGTAGGTAACGTTGCATGTAATTGCATTCAAATTATTAATATTATTCTTGAAACAATTCTAGGTATTTTAACTTTTGAAACAAAATTTATTAGTTTTCGGAGGATTAACCAATGAATCGATGACCGATGAAAATTTATATATCCTTGACATTGGTAATTAAATAAATACTTCCCGAATATAAATAATACGCATATCATTTTGTTATTTACTATGATTTTTAATAATTTATAAACGTACAAAAATCACCGCAGCATCAAAGGTATGGAGCATTTCCGTATTTGAAGATCCTCCATTATCACGTCATGGACATTCGGCAACCATTATCGGAGGAAAAATGTATATCTTTGGTGGTCAACATGATGGAAAATACTTGAACGATTTAATTTCTTTTGATATAAAATCTCGTAAGTCGCAAAATAATTTATTTTCAAGAAGTTTCGTTTTTAAAGATTTTGATTTCTTTCATTCAAATATATTTTTTTAAAAATTTAAAATTTAATATTATTTTAACAGGAAAATGGGATGTTATTATTCCACGTGATCAATTCCCACCCGGTCGTTCCGGACATATTTCTTATGCATATAAAGAAAAAATTTACATGTATGTTATTGAAGAAAAATTCAATTTTCCCCTTAAAAAAAAAAAAAAAAAAAAAAATAGGAAAAAATTTTAATATTTTTATTTCTTGAATCAAGCTTTGGTGGAATCGATGAAAATCAATGTTATAATGATACATGGTGTTATGATACTTGGGCAAACTCATGGGCAGAACTATTATGTACAGGATATTTTCCACTTCCACGACATGATCATGGATCCACTATGGTTAATGATATAATATATGTGTTTGGTGGTAAAACTTATGATAAAAAAGAACAAGGCGATTTGGCTGGTAAAAAAAAAATTTTTTTACTTATCGAACGGGATTTTTTTTTCTTTTAAATTTATCTTTATTTGTTATATTTTTATTAGCTTTTCGAGTAAGTGATCAAAGATGGTTCATGTTTCAAAAAATGGGACCTGCCCCATCCTCGCGATCTCGACATACGATGACTGCTGCGGGGGATAAAATTTTAGTACTCGGTGGTGAATCTATGAACTCACCTAAACCTGATGAAGAAGGAATAATACACGTACTCGATACATGTAATTATCGGTAATTTAATTTAATTAATTGGTTTTTATTTATTGATATATTGAAATTTATTATTATTTTTTTTTTTTTAGCAAAGATAAAATACCCATCGGTATCACAACAGGCAATTCCGCAGCAAATACAACAAGGATCGCAACAAAAGAAACAACTTTCTCCCCAAGCTAAACAATTATCGCCTAAAGAACTTTCTCCAAACTTAATTGATAATAATGGAAGTATGCGTCTGAAGCATATATTTCCCACATCAAGACAAAGTTCGAATCAAAAATCACGCAATGAAGACGAAAAATCTCATAGTTCAAAATCAGGTAGTACAGATGACACACTCTCTACACAACAATTTCAACAAGCGCAAATTTCTTCTCGTTCAATAAGTCCTTTTGGTTCTCCGCGGATGGCACCAGAAAACACAGGAGGAGGAATGTATTCTTCAATACCTCCTGGTCACATTCCTTCACAGCAACAACAATTACAACAACAAATTCCAACAAGGGGAAGCACGCAGCCTCACTATCAAAATACGTTGCTTACTCAACAAGGGTATCCAAGAGGTCCCGCAAGCTATTCACGTCAGGGATCACCGTCTCCAAGAGGGATGTCCGCTTATGACGTTAACACAATCGCAATGTCAAATTCAAAGGGAAACCCTCCCGAGCAGATAATTTATATGGAACGTTCTACTTCTCCTCAATCACGTTCACAATACGGAAACGCCGAAAGTCTTCGAAAGAAAACGTCTTCCCCATTTGGCAATGCGATTGATGAAATCTCAAAACAACAACAAAATAATGATAATCTTCAACAACAGAGAGGGAAGAAACAATTTGAAAACCCTCGTCAAGCTCCTCGTCCTCCTAACCCAAATATGAATACCTTGGACAATCAAAGTAAATCGGTCCCCTACAGCGGTATGTCGAGTGACAAAGGAAATTTTACCGGAGGGTTGTTGATGTCACCCACTGCACCCTCATCGCCGGCATCTCAAAACTCTAATACGATGCCACCAAGTCCCATGTCTTATGAAGAAGTGAATTCTTTGTCGTCAACAATCACGAATAGTCCTGTTGAAGTTTCCGATACTGTCGATCATTCTCCGGCACGTATCGAACGCGACGATTTGACACGCGAATTACAGCAACGCGATCAAATTATATCTACGTTTAAAAGGCGTGAAATGTGGTTTAGAACCGAATTAACTTTAGCTAGAAAATCCGGATATACCCCAGGTAATGATACCGACAATCCTCCGCCTGATGGTATCGATATTGAACATTTATTGGATATGAAAGAATTAAGTTCTGAAAAATATAAAATCCTGGAAACAATTATGAAATTCAAACAAGAAATGATGAAATCAAAAGTGCTTGTAGCAAATCAAGCTCAAATTTCATCTCAAAAAATCACAGAATCCGAACGAGCGCGTACTGCTGCATTACAAGAAGCAGCATATTTTAAAGCAAAATTAACGGCTATAATGAATTCATCAGAATCAAAGTTAGCAAGCATTGAAGTAAAACGTGCCAACGACCTTGAAAAACGGTTAACGCAAGCATTAACCGAGAAAGAAAATATACATAATAAATACATGCAATCTCAACAGAAGTTAAATTATGAAACCGCTATTAGGGAATCAGCTGAAGAACAAACGAAAATCGCTACATTTCGTGCTGAAGAAGCTGAAGAAGCCCATGCACGTGCTTTATCAAACCTTGCAACTCTTCATTCTCGTGCTACCACAGCCGAAGCTTTACTAAGGGAAACTAAAACGAAATTAATAGAAACATCTGCAGATTTAACACAAAACCGTTCAGGAAATGATAGCATTCTGTCACAATTAAATAAACTTCAACAGTCCGTCGAACAACATCAACGAGCGCTTGAAAAAGCAAACGACGCTCTTACGGTCGCCAATGAAAGAACGAGTGAATTTGAAAAGTTATGGAAACAGTCAAGGCAAGAAATTCAGATATTAGAAAAAGAAACTTCGAGCCTACGAGCCGAACTGGATGTTAAAATGCAAGATTTAGATCGCTTAAAAGCAAGAGCCATTGAAATGGAAAGTTTACTAGATAAAGCACACAAAGAAAGCGAAACGATGAGAGCAACCATACAAGAAGGGATGAATAATTTATTGGATAATTCCTCAAAGTCGAATTCTGACTTAAGTAATTACTTAAATGTTACGGATAAACTTCAACTTGTTGAACAAGAACTTTCTGAACTTAAAATAATTCATGCTGAAACACAAAGATTTGCTAATGATGCCTCAACCGATTTATCAGATGCCAAAGTTAAAATTCTGCAATTAGAATCGTCCGTTATGAAAGCTCGTTCAGAATCTGCGCAATTACAACGTAGGCTGGGAGAAAGCAATGATGAAATTATGAAGATAAAAGTGCGTTTAAGGGAAAAAGAACGAACCTTAGACGAAAAGGTTCGAGCCCTTGAAGATTCTGAAGTTAAAGCTGGAATGATGCGTGACGTCATGACCGAAAGAGGAATATTATTTGGTAACTTGACAGGAGGTCAACAAGCGTCAACGTCTTTGCAATTTAGAGAAATGGAAGCGCGTTACAGGGAATTAGAAAATATGTATACTAAAGCACAAGCTGAAAACGCAAAATTTAAGGATGTATTACAGAAAATCTATGATGCAGAACGATCAAGTAATGGAGATTCAAAGAACTTAACATCGAATATCATAAGTAATCTAGCATTAGAGGAGAAATTGAGAGTTACCGATAAGGAGTTAAATGAGACTCAACAACAGTTTGACGTCACTAGGCAAAAATTGAATCAATTAGAAACGGATTATAAAACCGCCACGCATTATGTTAAGGGAACCGAAAAAATGTTGAGGAGAATGAAAGATGAATTAACAAAGAATAAATCCGAAAGTTCTAAGTTAAAATTACAGTTATCAACCGCACAGCATCAAAATGAAGATTTAGAAGATAAAATTTCTGAACTTGAGAACCAAATGTCATTACAAAAAGGATTTCGTGCTTCAAGGCAAGAATTTGCAAATATTAAACAAATAGTTATACAACGGGAAGAATTTTTAAAAGAAAAGGAAGAAATGGAAAAGAAGATATCAGAATTAAGTAAACAAGTTGAACATGCTATGGAGGAGAAATGTATGTCTGATCAATCGTATGAAGCTTTGAAAAAGGAATATGATCACATACGTAAAGAGTATAACCTTTTACGTCAAACTGGTGAGTCACTAAAAGAACAATTCTCCAGAACCGATAGAGAGATTAAAGAGCTGAAAGATGAATTAGAAGAAACTTTATCACTAAATGAACTTTTAAATCAACAACTTGATGAAGCTTTAAAAAATAATGGTCACGTAAATGAAAAACGATTTTCCGTAATAAATCGGGAACACCTTGCGATTGAACAACAGAAATGGAAGGCACAGAAAGAATATTTGGAACTACAAATCAAAGAAATCCAAGAAACAAATGACCAACTTCAAAATGAAAATATAGAATTAGGCAATAAGTTACAAGATTCAGAAAACAAAATATCTTTGCTTTTAGATCAAGTGGAAACTGCAGTTGTAATAAAAGAAAATCCAAGAGATTCAAGAATAATAAACGCTTTAACAAATGAATTAGATGTACTAAAATCACAATATAAAATTTCGGATAAATAGGGCTTCATAATTTGAAATAATGGCAACTTTAGACGCAATACAGTAAGCTTCTGCCGAAAGGAGTGAAATTAATAACTAAAACATGTTTACAAATTTAATTTATATTTTATTTCAAACAAAATTATTTTATACATAATTTTTTTTTGTACAATTATTTAATGAATTAGAACAAAATAAAAGAAAAAAAAAATCAAAATCAAATTTATCACGAGATGAAAATCACATCACCATCATTTAAATTCTTATAGAATCCAAGGAAATTCACTTTTTATCGTCATCATTGTAAACCTCACAACTCACAAAACTACCATTTAGACCATCACAAACCGAAGATTCATAACTAGGAGGTAAAGAAACATCATCCAAAGAGATTTCATCCCAAGAATAATTCGAGACCATAGATTCATTATCATTTTCATCATATAAAGGTAAAATATCATCCTTACAAATAGCGGATAAAATTATAATTGGGATGATTAGTTTAAATTTTTTTATTTTAGATATTTTAGATTGATTGTTACCATGAACCTTGATATTAAATAAGAGCCTTAATTCATGAGAGATTGTAATTGGATCCGAAGAATAAGAAGGATGAATGACATATGGTAAATTTGGTATTCTAAAGGAAATCGTTTCATGATAACATAGTTCTAATGATTCATTATCCTCCCTTCCCTCCTCGTTTTGTTGTATATTATTTTTTGTCATATTTAAATATATGAGTACTTAGATTATTAGAATCTTTATCAATCCATTCTTTAATAAAATCATTGATTTTGATTCCACAAATTGTGATTTCCTGCGAACTTTGTTTTGAACTAGATGATATATTATAAACGGATTTCTCAACCAAATCAATATGAACGTGTTGTAAGTCTAATTTAACCTTATCTTTAGGCATCAATTTCAGATCAATTTTCATACAATCTCCGATAGGAAACGCTTTTTTTAGAAATGAAATCTCATATCTACAAAGATTACTCCAATCATTTGAAACGACTTTTCCTTGATTCCATTCATCCGATATGGTGCGTAATATAGTGACATATTGCGTTTTCCGTATCCTTGAAAAGATTCCGGATTTGATAACTTTTGCCGTTACTTTATAATTGATCTTTCCAATGTTTGTGTTAATGGATTCGGGGAGTGTACCAGGAAGAAATAATTCAAAAGGAAAAGTATGAGTTCCTTTTGTTAAAACATGGTGATGTTTGGATGATTTATTTGATGTTGAAGATTTCGAAATCGAATGAAATAATCTTGATGTAAAAGTTTTATTATTGTGAACAGACGAAGCAGAACTATCATCATCATCATTATTGATTGTTTCTTGTGATTGACCAAGAAATGTCCAATTATGAGAGATTATTTCTTGTTCTATATAATTACTACTTGCAGCTATCTCTCCTGTTGAATGTGGAATGAATAATTTGGTTTTTCCGAGAAATGTCAATTCAAGTCTTTTGATTTTTGTTAGTTTAGTTAAATTTAAAATCAAATCACCTCTCAAGAAACAACCTAATGATTCTTCAGGTGATCCATGTAAAATGATTGTTGATTCAACCAATTTTATTTTTAATTTATTTCTAGATGACTTATATAGTACTTTGCTTTCCGTGGACATTTGATTCAGTTTTCTAATTTTGATTTTGATTTTTTTGTTTTAACTTTTTTTTTATATTTATGTAGTTTTTTATATAAATTTTTTTGAAACAAGAGGAACAAAAAATATTTTTTTTTTCTTTTGCAAAGTACAAAAAAAGCCGACGATATTTATAATTTATGGGATGTGAAACATGACGCAGCGACAATAACTTCATTGGTCAAGTTTGCTGCACTTTTTGTTTGGGTAACTGCATAAAAGAGGAAATTTTCTTCGAATATTAGTATAATAATTGTAAACTGTTACAGAGTTATAAATAGAAGTCTTTTTTCTTTTGGGACCAGTATGATTGATCGATCTAATTCGCCGCAGCAAAAACACCATTCGAAAATGGCACCAAAAATAAATTAAATGAAAACGAATTTGTGGCGAAGTCCCATTTTTCTTGATTATTATCTTGTAAGAAATAAAAAATAAAAAAAATTTAATAAAGACGGTAAAGAATCAACAAGCCATGGTAATATCACGAAAACACAATCAAAATATTTACGATATGCTAAGCCTTTTCCCATGATATTTAAAATAAAGAAAACCTTTTTCTTTGAACAAGATACATGTAAAAAGATCATTTTTGTCCTTTTTTTTTTAAAAAAATAATTTTTTTTTGCTGTCAATTTGAAATGAAACAATGAAATCGATGACATCAATTTCTCGAATTCATTTCATCCTTTCATATCTTTCCTATATATTATTATTCTTTCTTGTTCGAAACATTCTTGCAAATGAGGGAGCAAATAGCGATGATAGCATTCTAGAAAAATGTGGAGTGATTTGTATAATTACCATTACCATAATCGGCTTTTTGATTCTTGGAATTCTTTCCTATATAATTTTTCGAAAAAATATTCGAAATCGTCATGGTCAGAACACTGGTTTTACTGAAGAAGTCCCAGCCTTAAAATGTAAGCGATTTGAAGAAAAAAGAAAAAAAAAAGGGAAATTGAAAGTGAATTCGCGTGATTATTTAATGTCAATCCGTCTTTTATTCTAGATGATGATTTTAACTCATCTTTTGAAACCATAAATATTCAGCCTGTTTTTCAAAAGGCACATCCAAAGAAATGATACCTTTTTTTTTTATTGATCATGTAAAAAAGCTTTTTCAAAAAGTGTTTTGTAAGTGAAAATAGAATTTAGAATTTCCATGTTTTTTATTTTTATTTTTAGATTTGTATGACGGTGCTTTTTGATCTATTGTAAAAAAAAAAAATAAAAATTTCCCCCTTCTATATTGTGAATAAATTTTCATTTGACGATGTTTACTTAGTTTTGATAAACCTAACGCATACGAGTAATTGTTATATCATGCGATATATGTTAACATGATCATAATATTCCGAGACGAAATTTATTCCAATGCTGACGCTGCAAAAATTTCGAAGTACATGTCTGAACATACATAAATTTTACCCAAACTTCCATCGTTACACAAATTAATGTTAAGACCAAATGTGGCTAATAACCAATTAGTATTGTAGTTTAATTTATATCAAAAATACTAATCTCGTCTTTCTATTTCTTTTTTATTTATAAAAAAAAAAAATGAATACAACATAACAATGGTTTCTTATTTATAAATGAAATATATCACAATTTATGTTAGGAATGCAAATGATGTGTCATCTAAAAGCTAATTTTTTTAAATATTAATAAATACTATTTTTTTTTAATTACAATAAATAAATATTATAAATATTATTCTTGATTAGCTTTCTCTAACCAATAAACGGCAGCTTCAGAATCCACTGCCACCCCTATCCCCTTTTGATAGCATTTGGCTATATTCTGCTTCGCCAAATTATACCCAGCATCAGCCGCTTGTTTATATAAAGAAAAGGCCTTTTTATGATCAGAGCTAACGCCCAGTCCCATTTCATAACAAAAAGCCAACATATTCCTACCACAAACGTTACCTCCATCGCTTGCCATTTTAAAATATTGCAATGCTTTGCTTTTGTTTTTTATGGAGCCACGACCATCATGATAACATTCTCCCAAACTTTGAAAAGCTGTAACACTTCCATTAGCTGAAGCCTTTTGATACCATTCGAAGGCCAAAGTTTCATCTTTCACAGTACCTTTTCCATTTAAATAACAATAACCCAACAAATCTTGAGCGATAGCGTATTGTTTCTTTGCCGCACTCAAAAATAATACAAAAGCTTTCCTATTCTCGATAGACGTCCCAATACCATTCAAATAAAAATATCCCAAAAGAATTTTATATTGTAAACTTAATTGCGTTCTCAAAAGCCAACCAAATATCTCGGTTTTTGTTTGTTTTTGATTTTCAAGAAATTTTTGAATAGCTTTTGATAAAGCGTGTCCAGAGTCAATCTCATAAGTTTCCAAAAACAAAGATAATAATTCATCTACGATCTTTTTTGTTGGATCCTCCCTAGTTCGATCAGCAGTATTTGACCATAATCCTGCCATGGTACTTTGAGCATTGATTTGCATTGAAGAATTTATGAAACTCGTGGAATATCTACGTTGGGCCGGCTTATATGCAATTTTCTTTGGAGGACTTGTAGAGCGAGGCGGCGTTATAATTTTTGGCGATGGTTTTGGCATCATTGTTTGAGTTCTTCGAGGAACTCTTGGGGTTCCATTTGGAATTGAAACGGAGGCCGACCTTTTGGGAAGCCTTGGTTTTGCTGACGCAAAATCGGGACTTTTTGCCCTAGTCAGTATTCTCAACGGACTTTTGGTTTTGGGTCTTGATTGTCTAGGTGAATCTTCTTCCAATGGACTAAGTGATCTTTTTCTCAACGGACTTTTGCTTTTAGGCCTTGATCGTCTAATTGATGGTTGTTCCTCCAATGAGCCAATTGAACTCGCCGGACTTAATGATCTCGGACTTTCTGATATTGTCAAAGTTTTAAGTGGAGATTTTGATCTAGAAGTGGGACTTTTGGTTCTCGATAAATTCTCGGGTTTTATCATGATTGCTGATACCAATGAATTTTCGGATTTAATGTTAACAGGACTTTCTACTTTATTTGTTGTGCTTGTGGTCGTGCTATCTTCTTCCTCTTCCTTAATCACTTTAATTTCCGGACGTGCGGGACTTTTATTCCTTGCCATTGGACTTTTAGAACGAGATCTCGATGGACTTTTTGACCTCGATCTTGTATTAGGAACCATTAATGTAGCATTTGATTTTTTGTTTGCGACTTTTGGTGATGCAGTTGGTGGTGGTGCTGGATTATTCATTGGTTTATTAATTACAGGGAAGGATTTTACTGGTTTAATAACTGTTGGAGTAGGTGGAGCGGGAATAGGAGGTTCTAAAGTAATCGTAAATCTTCTCCTTGGTTTAGTTGTTTTAACATCCTGTTCCATTGATGGATCTACACCGCCATCAATTTTATCAATCGCTGATACAACTTCTTGAATCTCAGGTCGATCATTGGGATCAGACTGCCAACATTCTAAAGAAGAATAAAGGATAGGTTTGTCACTTTTTTTTTTGTTTGAACAATAAGATGAAATTAAAAAAGTTGACCCTTTTAGAAAAATCTTAAAACAAATTACTTTTATAAATTTCGATATAATCTTTATCGATTCCATCAATATCTTTCTCGCGAAGTCCTTCCATGATCTCTTTTTGTAAATCTGAATGTTCTTCCAAGCTAAATGGTAGGTATCCAGAAGTTAATTCCCACAAAAGAACTCCCAAACTATAAATATCGGATTTCTTTGTTAACATTGCTTGTTTATCTCCGCTACTCTTATAATTTGGTATATTAAAATATTGTGGATCAACGTAAGCCAAAAAATTTTGTAAATTTGCTGATACATTTGATGATTCTGACATCTTACATGTAATCCCTAATGCTTTTAATTTTAAATTGTGTTGATTGATGATTATATTGTTAGAATGCTATAATAATAATAATAAAAAAAAAAAATAGAATTGAAGAAATGAAAAAAAATCAAACAAAATAAAAACAAAAAAAAAAAATAAATTGCTTACCAAGTTTCTATGGATTATATTATTTTCATGTAAAAATGAGACGCCGTTACAAAGTTGTTTTGCACATTTTAATCTAACGCTCCAATGTAAATTTTCCGAATTATTTTTCAAGTATTCTCTCAAGGTTCCCCCATCACCGTACTCCAGTATTACCATATATTTTAATGGATCACAAACTTTTTTATCTAATATAGTCAATGATTCAAATTAGCCTAAATGTATAATAATGATCAAGAAGTAATTTGATATAAATTTCGCTTACCACTGTTTTCTGATTTAGTAACGCCGTAAAATTTTGAAATATTTTCGTTATTAAAAAGATGAATCTTTCTTAATAATTTGAGCTAATTTTTCGAGAAAAAATCATTAATTAATTAAAAATGTAAAAAGATAGTTTCTCTCTCTTCCCAAATCGATAGAATTAATTACCTCAGATACTACTTCTCTTGTGGATAATTTATTTCCGATGAACTTCATAGATACAATGGTTTCAACGTCATCTTTTTTCATGAGAGCTTTGTAAATTTTACTTGATCCGATTTGTTCGATGTCTAAAAGACTTTTATATTCTTGGTAATTATATTCTCCATTAGCTAAAGCTTGCTCTATCCATTCTACCCAAACTTTTTGCGTAAAGAACGCCATGTTTTTGGGTGATAATATTTAAGACTGGGAAATCGAAAAAAAAATGTGCGCAAAGAAATAAATTTATGTCGTTTTACATAATTTTCAGGTTAACGATAATTGGATTAGAGAAATTATTATGCGATTAATACATTCAGTAATGATTTGCCTCTTTTATATTATTTACCTTATTATTGGGGAAAAAACAAATAAGTGATGTCATTCAATGAAATATAATTACGTTACCCCTTCATAAATAAAAAAGCTCGTGAAAAATTGAAACAAAAACATTTATTTATTTATATTTCTATGCGAACGAATCCCTGAAAATATTTTAATTGAAAAGTATTCTTTGAACAAAATTTCTTTTTATTAATTAGTTTAGTCTATATTCTCTTTTTTAAAAAAAATTTAAAGAATTACTTATATACAAAAACAAATTAGGAGAAGTTAACATAACCAATTACACAAGATAAGTAAATTGAGTCAGCATTTCTGACTAAAAAAAAGACGAGAAAATTAAAAATTAATAAGACGGAAATATTTAAAAAAATTTTTTTTCCTCAAATAAATAAGAAATAATTACTTGAAAAAGCCATGGAATACAAATGATTCTTTCCATCTTGAACTTCTGGAGAAGCAAGTGGCATCGGAAATGATACTCTGAGCACAACATTTCCAACCGGTAAGGGACAATGAGTTCCAACATTAGCACAAAGATCAAAAGAAGAATTAAGGATGCTTGTATTATCATCTCGATCGATTGCAATTTCATACTGAGCTCCCTGAAATATTGTTACTGAGCTAGTCCCCGTAAGTGTAATAATTGCATTTTGACCAAATACTAATATGTTTGGAGAAAGTATAATGTCCATTTGATTGGGGTATTTTCCTGCACAAGGAGTAAACGGACCATGTCTTTTGTTTAACACCGAAGAATCAGTAACAATGTTACTGTTACTTAGAATGAAGAAAGCCGTAAAAAGCAAAATTATTAATTTATTCATGATTTTATTAAAAATAAAAAATAAAATTAATAATAATGAAAGAATTAAATCAGAGCAAAAGAGCAAAAAGGAAGTTTGAAGGAAAAAAAAAAAAAATGAATCTTATTTTATTGTTTTTTATTCGTGCGATATAAGGGGTAAGTATTCTCTGTTCAATGCAGAATTTTCATTCGGCATTTTTTTTGTAGACATGTTGTGGAATCGTGTTTTAAAAATAGATTTAAATAGGTTTATTTGTTTACCAAATATCATGAATGTTAAGGTTAAAATTTTTCTCCTGAACAAAAGTAATAAATTCAGATGCATTATCTAAGGAATCTAAATCTAAATTGTAGGGACTAATAAATCTAATTTTGTTGCAATTAATATTATCTTTTTTATATTGTATTAAAGTAAAAAATAATTCATCTTTTATATTATTACTATTATAAATGATGTCTAAATTAATTAAATGGTGACATTGTTTTAAAAAATAATCTAAACTTAAATAATGCATATTAAATTCCAATACAAGGTGTTGTAAATATAAAGGTAATGATTTTGATAATTTTAATAAAGATTCAAATATGATGGAAGTGTCATTAATTTCTCTACTTGATAGTTTTAAATATTTTAATTGATGTAAATCGGAAAGTAAATTGGAAAGTAAAGAGATGATATAATTATAATTATCTAATAAAAATGAAATTGACAAATGAGTTATCTGTGAACATGATGTCTTAATTGAATCAAAAATTCTTGGATTTGAACTTCCATCTAAAATGAGCTTTCTTAGATTAATATTAGTCGCTTTAAGGATTTTCGGTATTAATGGATCAGGTTCATAATTATGACCAACGAATAAATTGATGATTGACAATTGATCCAATTCAATGTTTGATGGGGTGAGGAAGTCTGACCCACCCAATAGTTCTAACGTTCCTAGATTTTTCCACGAGGCCAAACCATCTCTAAGATAATAATCCGAGTGTATTAATTCCATGAGGGTTAAATGTGATAAAGAATGGGATTGACTTGTTAATGACTTGTACAAGGAAATTTCTGATTGATCCCAATAATAATTCGATGTAAACCTATAAAGACTTTTTTGAGATTCGATTAATTTACATAAACTACGGTGAAACTTTGACGTTAAATGTTGTTCTTCCCAAGGATTCCGTAAATCCCTCGGTATTTCGATTCTAATCTCTTTCAAGTGAATGGCAAATTGTGACATTTTATTTAAGAGTTCGATTAAAAGGGTATCTTCCCTTTTCCAATCCCTATTATACCTTAATCTCTTAACAAAATCAATATCAAAGGTATGAAGCTTTTGAAATGAATTATGATGTCCTTGAGTGAATAAATGTAACCTTATATCCATTTTGTATTTATTGTCCAAACAACTATTAATAATCAAATATTTCAGGGAATCACATTCATTAAATAACAAGTATAAGATTTCTTTCGCCATGCAAGGACTCGGATTTGTTGAATAATACTTTTTTAATAATGGTTTAAAGCATTTATTTATAGCTTTATCAAGATTATTCTTTGGGTTTATGATGTAAAATCCTTTAAATAATTTAATTTGTTTTCTAATCATTTGATTGAATTTATTTCTTGATTTAGTCGCATAGAAATATTGTGGTGAATTTTGTTGCAAACATCTATTTAGGGCTTGACAAAATTTTTGTGTATCAAACTTTTGTAAAAATGTTGGGTAATCAAATAATGTCGTCGTAAAGTCGGGTAATTTGATACCTCCAATCCTAAATCGTTTTTTGGATTCTTTTGGTAAGCATGATATATACGTCCTCACTATGTTATGCGATGATGTTTCCTTGGCCAATTCAAAAGGTTGGCTCCATAATAATGGAATAACGAGTCGACACCAATCTCGATTAACGAGAAGACACGAATAAAGTGAACATAAATCATCTTTTAACTGCAATAAAATATTATCTAAACAATTCATCAATATAAAGTTTTTTTTTTTTTAAAAAAAAAAAAGGAAAAAAAGTTATTTTTGGGGGGGAAATAAAAAAAATTTTAAATTAAATTTTTTGATGATTAAATTTATTTATATACGACTATTGTCCTATTTTTTTTATTGTAGTGATCTTTCTTTATCCGTCCGAAATTACTTACTACACCAATGCGGAACATACAATGGAACAATATAAGGAAAGCCAAAAATGCATCATTACTTATTAATTTATTTATAAATTATCTTGTTAAACAATAATTTAAAAAAAAATTTTTTTGAATAAAAAACAAACACAATCGTACAAGAAAGCGTTTACAACATACATTGTAAATAAAATAAAAAGCCTCTTTGCATTCTCCTTAACTCGTCTTCATCATCATATTGCAGGAAATCAATTTTTGGTTAAATTCATCATCATTGCGAAACGGTATACCTTTTCCGTACCAAAACATTCTATACACTAAACTCCGGAGGCCCGAGCTTACATACATGAGGTAATAAATATTTGGGCGCAGTTCCAATCATTTTAGATCAAGATAATAATAAATAAATGGTTTTAGCATTTGGTTTCGATATAAATAGACTGTACATGAACATTAAGGAGACCTGAGTCAACCCTCGGGTAACTCTTGCGTTACAAGAATTTTCACGCGATTCACGCCTTGTATAAATTGTCCAAATGATCACCAATCATTGTATATTATCAAAATTTAGAAAGTCAAAATGAAAAAAAAAAATTCGCACAATGGAAAAACAATGGAAAACAATATCATTTGGTTGTCGATCCGTTAAAAAAAAAGATTAGATAATGTTCGTCGATCCATTATGTCATCACGGAGAAAAAAATTATGAAACATTCTTAAGGGAAACCTTTGATGTATGGTCTTATGATAATTAAAAGTTGCAGAATCAATTATTGTTCTTCTTTATTTAATCGATTAACCATGGGTATACTTCCACTTGAATGTGGTCTTAAAACAAAACCACTTATTAAATGTTGTCGAAATTAAGTTATCTAATGCGAATTTTTAATTGAGTAACCTTTTAAATTGATTCATTTAAAAAAGAGGAATGCATAAATTCTCACAAAAGGTATAATTAATGAGGAAAACGGAAGATTAGATTAAGCACCTTACCATCACAATGGAAATATTAAATTTAACTTTTCCTAATATGGTCTCTGTCCTATAAGTATAATGAGCTTCCAATTGAGGAAATAATATTATTATCCTAATAATACAATAGATATTGATGCTAAATCATTTCCTCAAGCAATGTGTTTAAGCCCCTTTCATGTGATTTATCGAACGAGAGCCTCTGTAGCAAACGCGCAACCGGTTATGAACCAGTTGTTGTGGCGTTTGTGATAAGATTCTGCAGAAGCAACTCGAAAGAACCCTGAACATATTCAATTATTCTAGTTACATATAAGCAAATGTTGCAAATACTGACGATATCATCTTTTAAACATAATCGGTAAGAAATAATTATTTTAGTCCACGTCTGTAATAAAAAGGGGAAAGATTTTTTCTGGTTGGTTATTTTTGTGGGGGTTTTTTTTGAATAAAGTCAAAGAATACAGTATATGCAAATTTATTTTATATGTGTTAATATGTTTTTCGGACCGAAAAATGTTCGGATTTGCATCAACTCATTTTTTTCCCGGCGTCTTCCCGCAATTTATATATTTAAAATTTTCAATGCGCTTAATATGTAAATTCTTCAATCTAGTTCAACCCCCAACTTATATCATGCATTTTGCATTGACGTTCTCGAAATTTCATAGATTAACACCAAGTGATCAAATACTAAAACTCTTCCTCATATGGAACTATAATATAATCTGCCCTCTATATCCCTGGGATGGGAAAATAATTTTTCTTGTTCACTGTCTGCTAACTTGTGAGAAAGCGGGGTTAAGTGTATTGAACACGTGGCTTGGCATCATAGTTTTTTTTCTGCTTCTTTCTTTGGTTTTTTCATCGTATACTGGACAAGTACTAAGTAGATGAGAGGCATTATCACGGATATGATTACTTTAGCGTCTGGAAGACACCATTTTAATTCATAATCATTAGCGGTGTTGAGGTCTTGTTCAGTCTTTGTTCATTAACGATAAAACATTTTCTTATAATTTAACTTAAGGAAGTAGGGTATTGAAGTCAAAAATCGGCAAAATCGGTATTAAATTTTTTTTAAATTTTTTTTTTAAGTATAGAACAGTTTTTAAAATTTTTGAAGCAACATTTGTATGATAAACTTTTATTTATTAGAAAATAAAGTTAAATTAATCAAATATTTATGTTTCACAACTGCTTGTTTTCAAATCTTTGGGTTTTATTATTATTATTTTTTTTTTGATTAATATTTAGATCATACACAGACAACAAATTATTGGAATGTTTACTCAACATAAATTTTAATTTCTTCACTTTATTCACTAAATAAAGTATTCGATACACCAAAAATGAAGATCCAGAGAGACAACTTCTTTCATGAAGAATTTCTACTTACTAGGATAAATTTACTATATTCGATCTTTGTGTAATCGATTTTTTTTGTTGATTAATTGGACTAATGAAAATCGATTTAAATTAGTTTTTGCTGAGTTTGAATTAATTCAAATCGTTATTAAAATCGATTTCCGACTTTGGCGATTTTCCGAGTTTCGATTCCGATTCTAAAAGAAAGACCATATGGATTCTTTTTTTTTATAAATTTGTGTCAATATAATAAGCTAGTTATAAAACTTGAATGGCAATTCGGTTTCATTTAATACATTTATATTACCAATCAAGAACGTTTGAGTTCTTTGTTTTCAAATATATTATTTTTTTATTCTTAAAAAAAAATTACACCGCATTTTTAAAGTTGCTATCTTGTTGCTAACTTTTTTGAATTTGAAACCTGAACGAATTTTTTATTTTACTGCATATATATATAACTTGATAAATTAATTATACGACGCGTAATAATAAATGTACTTATTTTAAATAATACATCGAATTACGGGAATTCTGGTTATACGGAATTGTCTTTTTGCCTACCTAATAAAAAGCTTCCAAATTTAATGCATTGAACTTGTTTATTTATTACCTTTATTTTCAAGCGATCTTTTTAATTTTACTGAAAGGAACGATGAGAAAAAGAGATTTGATATAATAAATATATGTCGCTAAAATTTTGTGCCGAGAGCCTATCCTAATATGGCGATCATTATTTAATACATCGGAAATTTTTATTTTTTACCAATAAAGTTAAAACATTACGGATATTAAGAATTCTGAAAAGACGATTATTCTTTATTAGGGCGTTAATTATGATAGTATGTAAATGATAAATTAATTTCGAATAATTGGAAATTTTTTTTTTTTTAAAAAAAAAAGACTGATAAACAACGAAATGTAACACAAATTTTTTACAGCGTGACACGGTTTAATTAATCATACATAATATTATCATGTGATTCACTACAACGTCTTGATACCGTCTTTGTGTCTTAGGACCCAAACGTTTTTATTTGTTATTTGACACAGAAAGTACCCATGTTATTGTTTGTTAAAAATGTGACATGTTTAGTGCATTGTGTATATGCATCCATAAAGTAATTTCGCTTCAAGTACGAATTATTGGAAATAAATATAATTTTAACCTTTTTTGATTCTAAATTTAAAATTTAAATTTTCAAGCATTTGGTTTACGGTACGTTAAATTAAATATGTACAGCAAATCTATTTTGTTTTTATCGCGCATTGAATTTAAGAACGTCTTAGCAGGTGCATACATATTACATTCCCCACACCTATAAAATTAAAAATATATGAACATGTATTTCTTTTTTTTTCTACCGTAAATGGAAAACAACGAATAAATTCCAGTTAGGACAATGGAACATGTATGCGAAAAATAATTTCGCGAAATACGCGAGATAACTCGTTATCACACACACAAGGTAGAATTACGGATATTATTGAAATGGTCTTATATAGAAGAAAATGCGATTACATAATTAACGCTGTGATGATAATTGATTCTTGGTGAAGCCCCTTAAACATATTGAATTGCATCGAAAGCTTCAATAATCCCTTAAAAAGTTGACTATTTTGTACTCGAAGTTTTATTTTTCTTGGTATATCTTGACACATGCCTTGTTCTCGTTTTATATTCCTATACCGAATTAATCATAAATATCGTACTTCATAAAAAAATAAACAATAAACTTAATTTGGTTTTTTTCCGCTTTAAAATTTCACTTTTGAGTATTTTGAACGAAAATAGAAAACAAGAAATTACTGCGTATTGTGAGGAACAATGGGATTTATTATGATATTCTCGACTTTGCATAATAATTTGATACGCACCAATCATTTATCTCATTATCAAAAAATGGACCTAAAGTGAAGTCACTGTTTTTTTTATATAAAGGAAAAAGAATAAAAAACAATTCGATTTTCGGAATGTCACATATATTTAAAAATGTAGATACCTAATATTTCATGTAACATTCATAATTTCGGATAATTCCTCATGAGGTTACCAATTCGAAATATTTTAATATTGAAATGCTAATATAGTTGTTAATTATTGTAGTCCAACATACATAACATTTAATTAATTATAGAAACCTTTATTTATACAAAAACCAAGACTGCCAATTAAAAACCCTATGTAGCTTAGAAACACCAGCTCATGACACAACACATCTTATTATCTTAATATGTAGTAAAGTACAAACTTATTAAATTAATATTCATTTCGTGATTCTATCATAGCCTTTATTTATCTTATATTTGTATACATAGATCTCTCTAAGATACTATTGAAAATGTTTAAATAATAAATCGATAAATATTTTGCATGCGAATCATTATTTATGACAAACATGGTAGAAAATCGCAAGAAAATCTGTATTTAAGTACGGGAATAATCTTTTTTTTCCATTCTGTCCTTTTTTTTTCTGGTGGATTATTTTTTTTTTTTTTTACTTTCTTTAATAGTTTATTCACCTAAAATATTTATAATAATCCTTCAAGTTTTTATTTACGACTTATTAAATTTGACCTGTCTATGTCAAAATTTTAAATTCACTTCTCTTCTTAAGCTTACTTTCTCCATGTTCCTTACCGCTACATCCCAACAGTGATTTGAATTACGTCGTCGTCATCTCTCCTCTCATAATTCCGTACATATGGCTCGATTAGTAAATAATTTTGCAGTCACTTGTAGACAAATAATAAATAATAATGAATTGGTTAAGGTGGATTATATTTCAACACGACCAGAAAATTGTAACTGCGATTTTAGAGTCAATATTTTTTCTTGCAAAGGAGAGCCAATATATCGTATAGCAACGTGGATACTAGTGATTTATTCAATTATACTTGGATGCGTTTCTATGTATTTATTATATTATCGAGTATGTATAGTTGGACAATCCATATTTTTACGACCTTCGAAATTTAGGGGCATTCTTCGACCACGTCCACAGGAAACCTTTAATTTGATCTGTTGTACATATACTACATGTGTGTACAGTTTATTCTTTGTTCCTTCTCTCATATTTAAGAATCTTTATTTGATTTAAATTAACATTCTTTGTTTATTTCTTTCAGTGCATGCAATTCACCTTTTAATTAAATTATTCGATGGATATAGCAATATTTTATGGGCCGAACTTTATCTCGACATCCTTAAGCTAGTTCCCTATGCAATTGCAACACTTTATCCAATAAGCATAAGTAAGAAATCCATTACAAATCATATCTTTAATTTTTTACCCGCTAACCTTTTTTTTTATTCATTCAGTTTATTCAACACCAAATGTTGATCAGACAGCCATGCGATGGACACCAAATAAGTACTTGATAGATATTGTAGGATTTTCATTAATGATTTTCCCCTTTTGCAGTAATATACCAATAGCATTCTACACTGGATATTACGCTGACAAAAAAGACATTAAAATGGCGGATTACTTTTTTAAACTTCATTACATAATGTGGAGCTTTTGGTGTTTCGTCTTGTTAGTCACATTATTGATATTTTGGTATAAATTGATCAACATTTTAAATCATCATATGAAATTGATAAATAATCGAAGAAATAGAATGATCATTGAAGACACATGGAAATTAGAAAGATTAAAAGGAGCTGTTAGAAACGTAAGTTGTACGAAAAGAAAGAAATGTCCGCTGCGAAAATCGTGTGAAAGAAATTTACCATTACATTTATTTATTTTTTTATTTTTATTTTTAGCTGACCATAATTGTATCTTCTTATGGCTCCATATTCCTGTTTTATTCAATATATTGTTTAATGCATGCCTTATTTTATAAATCGTTTACGATTTATAATTTTGAATTAAATATAGTCTCGATGTTATTTGGTTATTATGTAATTCCAATTTCGTTTAACATCGTTCAATTCAATATAATATATCAGTAAGTAATGAAAATTTCTCCCATTTTTTTATAAAAAAAAAAAAATCCCTTTTAATGAGATTTGCTTTCTCGCTCATTAGTATGTTACGAACAACGCAGGATACTCAAACTATCCCTTTAAGAGTTTTCCGTAAATCCGGATCTCGTGATAGCGCCACAAATAGTAGGAGTATGTCACTTCAAGAGTCCAATGATGACATCATCACTTCAACCTCAATGGTAAATAATGAATTTTATCAACCTAATAAATCAGACAAGCAAATAATTAGATATGGGAGATATTGGGAAGATACTAATAATTCAAGATTTAGTAATAAATATTCAATAAATTCAATGTCAACTTCTGGAAAAAGTTCAACTTCTTTAGGTTATACTATTTCCGAAAGAGATACTTCTCCTACAAGCGATGTATTTAGTCAAAGGGATTTAATTGATTCTTATGAGGGAGACAACATGACTGAAAGAATGGATGATGATGACGATTCTTATAATCTTGATAGAAAAGAATGGTTAGCCGAAAAACCTAAAAGAATCCATTTGAAAAAGATGACTTTATAATTTACGTTTAATTTGTATTTTGTAAAAAAAAAAAAAAAAAAAAAAAAAAAAAAAAAAAAAAAAGTAATAAAAAAAATTAAAAAAAAAATGGAAAAAAAAAAATTTAAAAATAAAAAATTTTTTTTTTTTATTTTA